GCACGTGAGCCGAGATTGTACGATTGCACTCCAGCCCTGTGGGCAGACAGAGCTGAAACTCAGGTCTCAAAACAAGAAAAAAAAAAAAAAAAGAAACACGGAAATGGAATTCTGACACATTGCTACACCCTAAATGAACCTTGGGGAAACATTATGGCTCCATGAAATAAGCCAGGAAAGCTCAAATAATGTAATGATCCACTCCTTAGAGATGGCGCCAGAGTCGGGCTGGATTCATAGAGAGCAGAAAGTAGCAATGGGGGTGCCAGGGCCTTGGGAGGAGGAATGGGGAGTTTCATGTTTCATAGACACAGAGTTTCAGTTCTGCAAGCTAGAAAGAACAGCTGTGGGTGGATGGGGCTGCATGGTTGCATAAGCAGTGGCAAACGTTGAATGGCATTTACCTGTACCCTATGGACAATGGTTATAAAGCTACATTTAGGCATTATCTACATTTTACCCACATTTTGGAAACATAGTCATCAATCAATAGGTTCCTTAGCTCGTTGAGGTATGAGGTGGCCTGCTCCCATGGGCCACACCCAAACAGCTGCCTCAAGGGATTAAACTCCAGCCTGCCCACATGTAAGCTTGCTTGATAAGGATCGCTAATATGAGCCTCCTCCGCGCTTTATCCTATGCCACTGCCCACTCCCAGCTGGTGGCCTCCTAAGGATTCCCTCCCAGAAAAATGGTTGGCTCTCCGAGGGTCTGGCTTCTTGGGGAAGGCGCGCACAGCCAATGGCTTTGTTGGTGAAGGGGCAAGTATTTCCTGGAATACTCAACCGACACGGGAAAAACAGGCTTGGGAGAAGAACAGAGGAGAGTCTAGCATCGGCACCAGCCACGTGGCTTGGGCGGCAGGGCCACTTATCCTGGAGGACCCTGCGATCAAGGTGGGGAATACATGCATCGGCTGTCCTTTGTAGAGTGTTCTTGCCGGGGATTAACTGAGCATGGCATGGGTGTCGATGTGTTTGCTATGTTAAATGGCAGGTGAGTGGTGATGATGGAGATGGGAAAATCAGGCTCCTTGGGATCTCCAAGGAGCCACGAAGGGAAGTGCGGCATGAGACTGCCAGCGCCTGCTGTCTGCTTGAAAAAGGCTTCATTCGCCCTTCTGCTAGAAGGGACAGCTTCGCCCCCCCCGCCAGATCGCGCAAGTTTTCTTTCCCTCTGGCATTACTGGCTACTGAATAGACTCACCCCCCAGAATTCTCGGTGCTTGCTGATCCTGGCAGAAACCAGTAAGACAGTGAGAGCTGGAAACAGACGAGAGGGAGGGGATCATTCAGAGCCAAAGGGGGGGAAATCCCCTAGAGCTCCTGGCTTGGCTGAAGGAGCTAGGGTGAGTTAGGGGCCGACTAAGCCAAGAAAAAAAAAAAACTCTGCCCGCAGTGCAGCGACGTGCAAGGGCTTCACACCATAGGGCGTACTTCGCAGGCAGGTTATACAACACAAGAGTGCACAAATTTGGACAAGTCATATCCTATCTAAAGGCATCGGGAAGGTGGGGCATCTAATTGCGGAGCTAGGAATTTCCCAATTTCAGAAAAAACCCAGCAGGCTAATTCAGCTTCTTCTCTATGTTCCTAGTTGCACCAAAAGAACGCGGGCCACAAGTTGGCCAATCTCCCTTTCTATACGTTGCAACGCAGTTTCATTTTAAATAATGCAGTCCGCGCAATCTCCAAAGCCACCACACCTCGTTCAAGAAAAATAGGTAAATTGGACAAAACCCGGCATAAGGTCCTTTTTAAAAGTTTTCCATTATGCACATTTTTGTTTGTCCCTTTTGAGACAGAGTTTGTGGCTCTGTTGGCCCAAGGCGGAGTGCACTCGGCGATGTTGCCATCCGACTCAGCTGCAAGACCGCTGCCACGCTCCCAGTTTAAGCCAATTCTCCCGTCTGCAGGCCTGCCCAAGTAGGGCTGGGAAATTAGCAGCCAACCTGCCACCATGCCCTGTGATACATTTTGTTATTTTTAGTAGAGATGGGGTTTCACCATATAATTGGGCAGTTAAGGCTCCGTCTGCAAAGGGCTGCATGACCCTTCAACGTGATCTTGCGACGCCCTCGGCCTCGACGACCATAAAGTGGCTGGGATTAGCAGGTGTGAGCCACGCACCACCTAGGACGGCATGCTATTACCCCACCTTTCTGTAAAAAAGCATAAGAGAAACAACTTTGAAATATTTTGATAATATTTTTTTTAGTTCAAATGTAGTTTTGAAAATAATTCCCATATGCCAATACATCAATAGCGAAGTATGGCAATAAATAACTCGTCCTTCATTTAAGATTAATATAGTGTGTGTTCTCCTTAGCGTCTTTGAAATCTGGTATGCATGTTGTACAGACGAGGGAAAGGGCACATGTCCGTTTGGCACTAGACACATTCTGAGTGGCTCAGGTAGCCATGCCGCCGGCTTGACGACAGTGTAGGTTTAATAACTTAGGAAATTAGGGTCTTCCTCTGAGGTGCGGAGGAGATTTGAATATTCATGGGGCATGAGAATGCGTCTGGGAGTGTGCAGATATTTTGAGCAACATTTGGAATGGAGTGAGCGATGGATGATTCTGAAGATTGATGCTGCTTCCTGGCTGGGCCATGTTGTCTAGACTCGAAGTTGAATACATACAGCTGGGGGTGAAACGTCAGAAACGGCAGAAAGGCTTCTCGGCAGCCCTATTTCTTCCTGGAATTATCTAACATACCAGCTCCACCCTTAAGGGCAAATACCGGCTTGGATATGAGCAGGGCAGCTGGAAGACAGGAATGTTTTTTCCTATCCCTTGCCCGCTTGGGCAAGGTGGGCTCTGCGGAGAATGCTTTTGCTAAAAATATGGAGGATTCTGCTTCTACTGAAGCAATGTCAGCCCGCCCAGATGGTTGTAAGGGCATACGGCAAATAATACGCTAGGAGCAATGGATTCTGGGTCATCGCTGCCAATGGTGCCATTCGACGTTTACATCAAAAAGCGAAGGCAACGGTAGCCTGGGAGGCCAACGATGAAGTGCACGCTGGGCCTCGGACTGTCTCAGCCATTGTATTTACTTGTTGAATATATGCATAGGGCATAAGCTATTTTCATTATCATGGGCATTAGCCGGACGTGAAACATTATGGTTAAAGAATTTACCTGAATCGGGATCTAACGTTATGCTCTTAGCGGGACATTTTGTTTCTGTTTTTTGTTCTTTTTTTTTTTTTTTTTGTTAGGAATGAATGGAAGCTCTGCCTCTGTCTCGCCGAGGCTGGAGTGGCAGTGGAACGATCGGTAAAATCTGCACTGTAACCTCTGGCCTCCCAACAAGGGTTGCACGCCCAATTCTCGCTGCCTAGCCTCCCAAGTAGCTGGGAATTACAGGTGCGTGCACCAACGCGCTGCTAATTTTTGGCAATTTTTGGTAGACGAATTGGGGGGTTTCAAAGCCGCCAATGGTTGGCCCCAGCCTGCTATAAAGCTACATTTTACATTATCCACATTTTACCACAATTTGGAACATAGTCATAATCAATAGGTTCCTTACCCGTTGAGGGGTATGAGGTGCCTGCTCCATGCCACACCCAACAGCTTCCCCCAGGGATTAAACTCCAGCTGCCCACATGTAACTTGCTTGATAAGGATCCTATATGAGCTCCTCCCCTTCCTATGCCACTGCCCACTCCCAGCTGGTGCCTCCTAGGATTCCCTCCCAGAACAACGGGTTGCTCTCAGGGTCTGCTTCTTGGGGAACCCAAGCAATGGCTTGTGGTGAAGGCAAAGTATTTCCTGGAATGACTCAAGAAGTTATTTCCTGGAATGACTCAAACACAGGCTTGGGGAAAGAAAGAGGAGAGTCTAGCGTCCACCAGCCATGTGACCTTGAGCCAGCCACTTTTTCTGGAGGACCCTCGATCAACTGGGGATAATGCCCATGCTGTCTTTGTAGGAGTGTCATGGGGATTAACTGAGATGGCATGTGTGATGTGCTTTGCTATGTAAATGCAGGTGATGGTGATGATGGAGATGGGAAAACAGCTCTTGGGATCTCCAAGGAGCCAGAAGAAGTGCCAGAGACTCCACGCTCTGTCTCTTGAAAAAAGCTCTCCCCTTCTCTGAAGGAAGCTTCCAGATCCCAATTTTCTTTTCTCTGGCCTTTGGCTATGAATAGACTCACCCCCAGAATTCTCGGCTTCTGATCCTGGCAGAACCAGTAAGACAGTGAGACCTGAAACAGAGAGAGGAGGGGATCATTCAGACGGGGATCCCTAGACTCTGCTTGGCTGAAGGCTGGGTGAGTTAGGGGCGACTAACCCTAACTCTGCCCAGTCACACGTGCAAGCTTCACCATAGCGTCTTCCAGGCAGGTATAAACACAAGAGTCACAAATTTGGACCATCATATCCTTCTAAAGTATGGGAAGTGCATCTAATTGGAGCTGGGTTTCCCAATTTCAGAAAACCCAGCAGCTAATTCAGCTTCTTCTTATGTCCTAGCACCAAAGACACAGTGGCAATCTCCTTTCTATATTCAACAGTTTATTTAATAACAGTCCGGACCTCAAACCACACACTGTTCAAGAAAAATATAAATGGAAACCCCATAGGTCCTTTAAAATTTCCAATTAGCAACATTTTTTGTCTTTTGAGACAGAGTTTTGCTCTGTTGCCCAGGCTGGAGTGCAACGGCATGTTCTCGACTCACTGCAACCTCCACCTCCCAGGTTCAAAGCATTCTCCCGCCTCAGCCTCCCAAGTAGCTGGGATTACAGGCACCTGCCACCATGCCTGGATAATTTTTGTATTTTTAGTAGAGATGGGGTTTCAAC